TCTTCTTTCCTTCCGACGGCTCTCCTTCACATGGCAGTTTCAAGATTTCCGACCAGATTTCAGCCAATCGGTCGAGGAGCAGACCCGATGCAGTGCAACGACACGTCCTCTCCATCTGGGCGGTTCAGGGTGGCGAACACGACGGCTGAATCGATTGATATGGTCCGTGTAGCCTGAATGTGTTGTTGGATTGGGGGCTTATTTTTTGGAAATTTAATAATGTATAGGGCCTAATTGCAATTTCTTGAACTTTAATAAATTATAATTGAGTTATTGGGCCAAATTTACAATTTACTAAAATATAGTTGTACATAATGTTCAATTAGTTGGACATTCACACTTGGGATGACATAGAATAGGATATTTTCTATACTTTATATAAAAAATATTATGTATTTTTTGGAAAAAAATTAAATACTAATATAACTAATATATTATTTAAGTTATTATTTGCTTAATTCGATTATCCAATTAATTAAACCTTGTAATTCAATTTGGTGTTAATTTATTTGGGACAAAAGCTAATCGGTTTAGACTGCACATTAGAACTGAAATCGTGCACTTTAGTGTTAGACTAGTTGCACATTAGTGTATGTCATATTGCACATTAGTGATTGATCAAACATGTTTAAATTTTTCAGTTTAAAATACTATATCAAATATTATTTATATATATAATTTTATACATATGTTTATTATGCATATTCAAAAAAAAATAAACCTATTAACATTATTAATATATCTTTATAATATAAATAATAATTAAAATATTTTTTTCAGTATAAATAGTAAATTAGTTTGTTTATTTAGATTAATTTAATTAACCAACAAAATAACTCAATTATTTCGGTTCGATTTCATGTTGAATTTAAACAAATAATAATAATAATAAAAAAAAACATACTTTTATAATAATAATTAATATTTCATTTCAATTATTTATGTTAATCATTTACAATTATATCTATTAAAATGTAGTTTTAAAAAACACATGTTCAATATGTGATCATATAATGTATTGCACTTTATATACCAGCATGTTGGACATTATAAAACAACACGTTGCACCGGATAAAACAACATGTTGCACTCTATCACCACATTGCACGATTAACATTAACAGCTCTAGCCAAATATACCGCACAACATAAATCTAAAAAAATGGCTATATGTAATAATTTAACATCAATCGCATAAATTATCCACACAAAAACATAAGCATGCTAATGTACCAAAATTGCAGCAGTTCGTTACCAAAATGGCAGTAGTTCACTGTATAAATAATCACGTTGCACTTTGTAATACAACACATTGCACATTACAAAGCAATAAGTTGCACTTTATCACGACTAAAATATTACAAAATAGAGATCGTAATCGACCGAACTCAAAATTTTTTCAACCAAAAGTAATATCAAATCATAAATAAAATGTTTATTATAAAAAATACTTTGTGTGTCCTGTGCAAATAATATTATTAATATCATTATTTCATTAATTACACATTAATTATATTGATATTGTACTCATCAATTATATTATACATATTTATCCACATAAAACACAAGTATGATCGCGCATCGAAATTACAATAATTCACTTTATACATCATTACGTTGCACTTTATAAAAAAATATGTTGCACTTTACAAGACCGCACATTGCACTTTAGTACGACTATCCGAAGTAGAATTTTTTCAACAAAAAATAATATAAAATCATAAATAAAATATTTATTATAAAAATTACTTTGTGTCTGCACAATAATATTACTATAAAAATAATATCATTATTTGATTAATTACACATTAATTACATTTATATTATACACATCAATTATATTATAGATATTAAGTACAAATATCAAATAATAAAGTACTTTTTCATTAATTAAATATTGGCATGAATTGTAATATATTGAAATTTGTATAATTGCAATCAAGTCCCTGTATCAAATCAAATTCTCAAAACTAAACCCTTAAAATTATTCAACA